GTATTTCATATTTATTATGGAATAATTATAAAGATATGATTATGTATGAGATTTTTTATTAGAAAATATTGTATTGATAATAATAATAGCAGGCAAGGATGAGTATAATTTCTTTTTGTTTTTTAGAAATCGTAATTTTAAAAAATTATTATCTATATTTTTTCATGCATACGATAGATACGTTTTCGTAAAAAATAAAATTTTAGATTCTTCGTATACTTTCGAAATAAAAGATAAATATAAATAGATATTACTTCGTAAAATCGAAGTCGTTCGTATGGTATCTATATACGTCTTCTTTGTAAAAAAAATTCTAAGTACGACTAAAGGCGATTTCATAAAAATATGAAATCGCGTTCGATCGTATCTGATTATTATCTCAAATAAGTAAACTTAAAATGGGCATGGCCATAGAAATTAAGATTTAACGTAAATTCTAAAGCCTAAATTATAAAAGCCGAAAGCTTTAATTATACGGTAACCAAAACCCATATAATATCTTTATTTCTATATTATATAATATAATCAATCTCGATACTTAAATAATGTCTGTCAATTATTAGTAGATATCGAAATATTTATTATATAAGTAAAGATCTAGAATATAATAATCTAAAAAAGCGATCTACCCTATAGCTCTCAATTTTAAGAGACTCCAGAAATATCATAAATCGTTCTATAAAAGAAATCACACAAAAAAGAAATAACCGATTCAAACACGTTTATTAGAATTCAAGTAAGAGAAAATTAGCCAATTCAGACAAATCTTCGTATTAAATACGATATATATTTCCAAAAAATCGTGAAAATATAGTCCCCAGATTACATATATTTAGAAATAATTTTTAAAAATAAATTAATTTCGCACAATACTAAGAATTCCGGCATGTACCGAAATTACAACAAATAATCGGTAGACACAAATAATCTCAAGGGACGAAATCGCGCGGCCAATACCGAGGGAGCGATGTTCCATATATAGAAAACGCACACAAGAACGACCCCCAAAGGCGCGCGCCATGTGCCGAAGGAACATTTTTCCAGCACCCAAGACAAGCACACCACCAGACAAGTCCAATAAAGTCATATTACAAGTATACCAGGCTGCCGCAGCAATAAACGGCACTGAGGCACATCCCGGGAAGAAAGCCGATGACAAAAGCGGAATCAAGCGAGCTGTCAACGCTTGTGGATCGCTTGTGGTAAATGTAGAATACCTCACATATACGTTGGACGCCCTCATGCCCGTGACCCCATGCATGGTGTCCAACATGTCCAAACGAGCTTTCGATGTATGTTGTAGGTACGGAAGTATGGAGAAGTTGGCATATATATTGGACGTCGCACGACCGTAACACCATACAACCAATAGTTCACTGAATACATGCCGCACCCAGTAGCAACAGTAGAAAAGTCGTCGTTATTATCGTCGCCGTCGTAGTCGAAACGAAAGATGGCATATCACCCAAAGAACATTGTCGCCCCAGTGCCACTAGGTGGGGGAAAGGGCGGTGCTCATCGAGTCGCCCACGATTCTTAGCGCCGCCCGGGGGTCCAGTCCCTTTCCAGCACCAGCCCACCCAGCCAAGACCAGCACTGGACCCCGGGGAATCAAGAAAAGATACATGGGCATCAAAGGCTGCGTTGCATGGGGTCTGTGTATGGCTTGGCTTACACAACCGCTGAGACTGCAGAGCCTGAGAAGCCCATGATGAACTGTGTTTGTCCAAGCATATCTATAGGAAGGGTGCAATCACAGGGGGGGAACCGCTTGTTTCCACTTCGGCTGGGTTTCGAGATAGGTCACATTCTGAATTACTGGCAACCTTCTCATGGACCTGATACATCGTGATAGGCCTGCTGACTCAGGCCAAAAAAGCTCGACTCACGGTGCTCAGATCTCTGGGGCGGCAAAGACGAAAGTGGTAGAACCCTCAGTCTCATTTTCGCCATGAAAACGTGTGAAGAATGTTTGCGTGCTGCCGTTCAAGATGCCCCGGTCCCACTCTTCCTCGATATAGTGCGGAATAAAGTCGAGGGGTATTTTCCGGATAACTTCCTGTGTCTGCCAGTCGATCAGCTGCATCTCCTCGTAGAAGGCATCTTCTCCGGCGTGAGAGCCAGCAAAGAGCATGAGGCGATCCCCGAGGCATTGGCAATGATTGTTGACGTGACCTTCGGCCCTCCACTTGGCTAGCTGTTTCGGCTCGCCGCCGGCTAGCTGACATACCTCAAAGTCGTAAACCTCCTCTCCGTATTGCCACCCCTCAGGAAGCCTTGCCACAACTTCGCCACAGCGATCCCGACCTGCAGTGAAATCATCCAAGGCGTTGGACACCAGTCCCTCTTTGTCGACCTCTCTGGGTCGGCCGGCAGACTGGTCACCCTCCTGCCAGTTAAACTTCTTCATCACAGACTCGTAATAGTCGATGTATTTATCGGTGACAGACGCGAACTTGAATTTGAAAGGACTGGGGCCACCCTCCGGCTCGAAGCGCAGCTTGGACAAATCCTCTTCTGCCAGGCCGTGGAGGCGGTACCTCTGCAGCACCCCATCTTGCAGCTCCTCCATAAGAAGGCAAGGGCAGCAAGGGCAGTACTACCCGCAAAGAAAAGCTCCCAGGATCTTTCCTGCTCCCGGGGGGCAGCGTTTTCCGTGGTGTCCGCAACCGTTTTCTGTTCCCCACTCGCGGGTGGTGAGGAGGCAGCACAGCAAGAAAGCGCAAGCGAACAAGTGAACAAAAAAGCCTGCGTTCGAGCAAGCAGGCGAGCGAGGAGTAAGCAAAGCAAGGGAGCAAGCAGCAAATTTGTGAATGCCATGCGCACTTGCCGCCGAGAGCACCATCCGATATCTACGTGCGCAAGTAATGGACACCCTCCCAAAAAACATTATTCTACAACTGCTTTTGGGGGGTTGCAGAGAAACACCCTGCTTTTTCAGCCGTGCATGCGCACGCCCACAAGCATGATTCCATGCACATTTTCGCAGGTTGCACGACCATGGGTTGACGCGTCAATTGTAAGCCGTGGATGCTTGCCCTAGGGTGCATCATTCCATCACCAGAGTTTGCATGTGGGGACGGATCATCCGTATGGTACGGTTGCAACTCGAGTCTGCGTTTTGCACTCGTGCTTGCTTCACAGACCATGATCCCATTTCTATCTTTGCAGATGTTTCCTGGCGACTGCTTCCGGCTTCTCTGACTGAACAGCAGCACTTTTCCTATCATGCACGGCGCTTCAGTCCTCCATGGCATCGCCAGAACGTCCCGGACCCAACAGCACAGTAGCAGCTTCATCCTGGTACTCGAACGCATGAATGGCCTGGTGCGGATCTGCCAAAGGCAGAGGGATCCGTCTCGCACTGACGTAGCCCCTGTCTGTCTGGACAGAAATGTCCTGTGCGGATTGCTCGGAAGCGCCTACGAGCCAGACGTCTGACGGCTCGAAATGCTGGACCACATACTTGGAGCCGGTATGATCCTCCAAGGCAGGAGCCGACGGAAAGCACCCGGACAATATCCCCCCACATTCGGGTGTTTTTGATTCTGCATCGTCTTCTGGACTAGGGAGGTACTTCCGCCAGGCTGGCATGGCAGGGAAGGCCAGCAGCCGATCACGAGCAAGCTGCCGCACGGTGAGGCCCATCAACAGCGGCCCACTCACTGGCACGGAAATAGAGTTCCACACGACCTTGCCCTCACGCCAGAACTCCAGAGAGGGCACCTTCACCACATCCACAGAGCCACCCCCGGCAAGGCCAGAAGCTTCCAGCGTGTCGCAGTCGCGCAGCACCCGAGTACCGAACATCAGACGCAAGCCACACCTGAGCTCAGGTGGCCCGCCATAGGCCACAGCGGCAGAGCGGAGCCGGGCGACCAGCTCCAGAGGTTCCGCACTCAGCCTCGCAATCTCCGTACCGGAGGCCGCCACTTTCAGGATAATCTCCGGCATGGCAGGAAAAAGACAAAGAGCTCCTCTCTTGGGCTTGGCCTGAAGGAAGCAAGCCGCAAGCCGCGGTGATACATCATACACTCAGAGTTTGCTACGAGCCCCCAGCCTGCATCTAGAAAGCGGCAGGATGGCAGTCATACTACTACTGCCACTGCCCCGATACTGCGACGACGACGACGACGACCACCACTCTACTACTACACCAGACTGACAGGAATGCCAGTGCCAATGACACCTAATGCCGACGCGTTCAAAAGAAATCTTCAGCTGTGTCAATGCAAGGAAATGCTGAACCTGTGACTGCTGTCAGTAACTTCTGTCCGAAGTGCAGCATTTCGACTGGTGCGAAATTAAGCATAAAAACGCCTGCAACCTTCGGCACGGGCCCGGTTCCCGTACCCAGTTTTCTTCACTTCTGGAAGAAGTGCCCTGGAAGATTCACAGGAAGGAGTTGGTATGGCCCCAGTGCCGCATTTGCTTTTGGCGTCTTCAGGGCAGAGTTGACACTGCTCCCCACCACAGCCACGATACATGCTGTCAAAGCAGCTGCTTACTGCCTCCTCTGTGGAGTCTTTGCACATCTTGGGGGGGTCAACGGAGTGATAGTGGTCACAGCAGCCCACAATCAGGGATCCTTGGACTCGGACTTGCACATGTCAATCTCAGCGGTAACAATTGCTAATGCCTTTTCAACGCAGCAAGACTCAAGGGTCGTGGCATCTTCTCGACAAAGCTGACACTGCTCACCACCGCAGCCGCGGCATATGGTGTCCATGCAAGCTGACACACAAGCAGTGATGGTGTTCTTGTCTTCCCTGCAGAGCTGACACTGCTCGCCACTGCAGCCGCGACATTTGCCTTCTATGCAATCGTGTACTGTTTCTGCTGAACTCAATGCCAGCACCAAGCTGACTGCAAGACGAGCCATGGCCATGACCAGGAGTTTCAGTCTTATGGGTGGACCACACTGCAAGCACTTTCTTGGGCCATGAACTAATTGACGATCACGCCTGCAAAATCCATCGAATCTACAGTGAGGCAGGCGCACAAGATACTGCGCTCTGTCGAGCACCTCATGCAGGCGTCAGAAACCCAGAGCCTACTGCTGCAAACCTCTACACAACTTCGCCGGTACGTTTAGTAACCTACCACTAGCAGATCTGCGTCAAGACCCAATAGCGCAAGCACCGGCAGAGCCTTTCGTGACTAGGGCTAGATTGCAGGGTGCAGTGCGCAGAACGCACGACGGCGTTCTGTGCAACTCTGGAATCTGCCAACATCCTGGCAAGGACACATTTGACGGCTTGGTGCATTTCCAATCATTAACAGGTAACCGGATAACTTATAACGATTTCCGTGGTTTAATCCGCCGAGATGCCCCAAAGGTTTAGGGTTTGGGGCCAAAATACAATCTTCCGGTCCCGATTAATCCGGAGTCTTGCAGTGTGACTTCTCGCTCGTAGCATAAGTTCACGACACTGGTTGGACGAAACAGCGAGAATGCAACTGCAGTCACTGAAGTACAAGCATGGGCCGTCCTCGAGAGGGAGTCGGCAATGACTTCCGTCCGCGAATATACTTCTTACAGGTGACATGAATGCCATATAATGCCATGCATTCTGCAGCCTATTCCTTCGTCTTCCTCTGGCTCTGCTGGAGCTGTTCCACTGTTGCTGATGTCGTGTGACATCTTAAGACTGTGTTGACCTCGACATCGTCGACGGTGATAGTCAA